CTGTAGATGTTCATTGAAATAAAAAAAAAATTTAAAAAATAAAAAATTAAAAAATTATTATAGATAAATAAGTTGATATTAGTTAAATTTTCCACTCTTCACCGGCACCATTCAACTGGGTCTTGCACTGACTAGGGCTACACTGCCTCCTTCTTCCCTTCCTCATCTCACCTAGGTGTTGCACAGATCTGTTTGTTGAGTTTCTGGAAATCTAAATTAAGGCTGTTGTTGAGTCTGAACTGACACAAAGCCAACTCTCACATTGAGAAGTGTTCTTCTCTTTTGGTTTTCTAACGTCAGATTTTTGCGTATTTCATTGTTGCTGTTGTTAAATGCCGTCGAGTAACCTGCGACTCAAAGAGGCCCTATGTACAAAAGCACTAAATCCGGCGCTATCCTGTGCCAATCTTACTGTCTCTGACACACCTACCTCTATTACCCCACTCACTGAATCAATCCATCTCATCGAGGGCTTTCGTCTGCGCTGTTCCTCTACCATCCCAAGCATGACGTCCCTCTCCAAGGACTAATCTCTCCTTGCAACATGCCCAAAGTATGTCAGAGCTTCAGAATCCTTGCCTCCAAGGAATAGTCTGGTTTAACCCTCTCCAGAACGAACCTGTTTGTTATTTTAGCAGTCCATGGTATATTCAATACTCTTTTCCAGTGCCACATCTCAAAGGCATAAATTCTTCTTCTATTATCCCTAGCCATTATCCAGTTTTCTGACCCATAGCAAGTAATTGTGAAAACTATGGCCTGGATCAGGCTCACTTTAGTCTCCAGAATGGCATCATTGCTCTTCGGTACTTTGGAATATAAAAGAAACTACCAACACCACTTCCTAAATGGTTGTGCATCAACCAGATAAATATCTTTCTGGTATTCTGTGTTTTCAGCCAAGATCCATCTGATGTCAGCGATGACATTATCTTCTTCTAAATGCACCTTGAATTTCTGATAGTTTTCTGACAATATATTTTTTTCATTATTAGAAAAAATTTTTCTAAAATTTTCTTCAGCAAGACTTTACTTGCATGTGATACTAAACATATAAAGAAATCTCGCTTTTTGTTGTATCACCTTTTTTTTTAGAATGAGAATAGGTATGAATCTCTTCTGGTTGGTTGGTTAGGTTCCTGTTTCCCAAATTTGACATCTATACCTGCACATGTGTAAGGCTGTATTGTTTATTGAAATACTTGACTTGTTATTGCATCAACTCATGGAGTCTTACTTTTGCCAATGTCTTCAATGCATTCTGGAATTCTTTCCTCATTACCACTCATTTTTTACTATATGCTAGCTTCTAAGGGAATTCTGGTGGTTTAGTGGTAAGAAGCCATGCTGCAATCTCAAGGCATGTAGTTTGAATCCATCAGCTGCTCTGTGGGAGAAGGATAGGCAATTGTGATCAATTGCCTCTAAAAACCTGCTGGAGGGTCAGCTATGAGTAAACTCCAACTCGATGGAATACAACAACAACAACAGCCTCCTAAATGGTTGCACAAGCAATTATTTTTGCTACAGATGTTTACTTGTGTTTTATTGACTATGTGAATACATTCAGCTATGTGGATTATAACAAATTATGGATAACATTTCAAAGAATAGGACATACAAAACACTTAATTTTGTCATGTGCAACCTGATTTTTACCTGTTATTTACATGAAAAAGAAGCAGATGTTTCAACAGAACAAAGGATATTGTATGGTTTAAAATCAGAAAAGATGTATGCCAGATTTGTATCCTTTCCCCATACTTACTCTGTATACTGAGCAAATAATCTGACAAACTTAAAGCACATGGTATCAGAATTGGAGGAAGACCCAGTAACAACCTAAAATATAAAGATGACACAACCTTTCTGGCTGAAAGTGAAAAAGATTTGGAGCATTTACTGATGAAGATTAAATACTACAGTCTTCAGTATGAGTTGCGCCTCAGCGAACAAAGCAAAAATGCACACAATGGGACCAACAAGCAACATCATTATAAGTGGAGAAAATAATGAAATTCTCAAGGATTTCATTAAACTTAGATCCTCAGTCACCATTCATGAGTGTAGCAGCTATATAACATGTTTTATGGAACTAATTTGTTGCAAAGCACCTCCATTTAAAAGTAAAGAAGCAAGAACATTTCACCAACCATGTCTCCTCTGTGTTACCTTACTAAACCTTTTCCACTTGTTTTCCTAAATGGAAAAAAAAAAAGCAAGGACACTCCTTTGAGGATTTTAGTGTACCTGACTCAAGGACATTACTTTAAGGATTTTAGTGTACCTGACTCAAGCCATAGTATTTTCAATTGCCTTAAACATAACATAAAGTTTGGGCAATGGGTAACAAAGATGAAGAAGAATTGATGTATTTTAATTATGGTGTTGATGTTGATGAAGAATATTGAATGTCCCATGAACTATCAAAAGAACAAACAAAACTGTCTTGGATGAAGTGCAATCAGAATGTTCCTTAGAAGCAAAGACAGTGAGACTTCATTTTACATACTTAGGCATGTTATCAGAAAGGGCCAGTACTTGGAAAGGACCTTATAGTAAATAGCCAGTGAAAAACAAAAAGATCTTCAACAAGATGAATTGATCCAGTCACTACAGCAGTGAGCTCAAGCATAGAGGTAGTGGGGGGATGGTGTAGGAGAAGGCATTGTCTGTTCTGACGGACAGAAGTTTGCATAACTTACTCACAGAACCTAACAACAACAACAACAACAACAACAACAACAACAGTTTTCTAAATTTATTTGACCTCAGAGCTTTTTTTTTGTGTTAAATATATTAACAACAGTAACAGATAATTAAAAAAAACAAAAACCACCCTAATAAAGAAACCAAGTTTCCTTCGGTAACTGGAATTTGTCTGGGCTCTTAGCCACTTCGAAACACTTAAACTGTAAGATCTATGAAGGTCCCGCTTCAACGGGTTTGTGCCATGTTGTACTCCCAGGACACAGAACACCTGCTTGCATTGTAGAAGCTCAGTAAACGTGCTGACTAATGACTATTCTTTCCATTAGATTTATTTAAAGAATGCCATTGATATTTATCATGAAGTTAGCTATGACTCATGGTAACCCATGTACAACAGGATGAAATGCTGACTGTCTTGCACCATCTTCGTGATGGTTGGCATGCTTGAGTCCGTCTTCGTGGCCAATAGGTATTCTGAGTGACTTCTAAACCGGGGTGGGGGTGGGGGTAGGGGCTCATCCTCCAGCCTTATAACACGAGGATATTCTTTTGAGAGTTTTCACTGGCTAATTTGTGGAAGTAGATCACCAGGCCTTTCTTCCTAATCTGTTACAAGCTATGAACTCTGCAAACCTGTCTACCACAAGTGATCCTGCTGGTATTTTAAATACTGGTAGCTAAACTCCTATCACTGTAGTTCCATGTAAACCACCATACAATGATTAAACCAGCAGTGGTATTTGGAAATATTTTGCAGAGTGGAGAGAACTTAGAAAAATTGATGCTGACCTCATACATTGAAAGCTTCAAAATGCTTATAACCTCTCACCAGATTTGGCCAGGTTTGGAAATATCTCTGGAAATCATTACACACACACACACACACACACACACACACATGCTTGTGTCTAAAGATGCCAAAGCTTGATGCAATATTCTTAAAGGTGATTTTTTTTATCCAGTAACTTTATTTTATTTTGATTCAACCAAGAATAGATGCACTTTTTTATCCACTAACTTTATTTTATTTTGATTCAACCAAGAATAGATGTATTTTTTTTTCCATCCAGTAATTTTATTTTCTTTTGATTCAACCAAGAATAGATGTATTCTTGCTTTGGTAGAGAAATGAAGCCTCTCCAATTCCATAGATTTTCATAGAAAAGTACTGAATTTTTATTTCCAACAAAGGATATTTGCTTTTTGGTTTTGTATCTACCATGTTGTTGTTATGTACCATTGAGTCAGAACCGACTCAAAGCTGACCCTCCAGTGAGTTTTCAGAGGCAATTAATTGCATAAGAGGAGATTGCCCGTCTTTCTCCCACGTATTCAAACTGCATGCCTATGGTATCTACCATGTTGT